CTCAGATACGCGGATCGTCTACGACGTTCCAGAGATGCCTGCAAAATTATAATAATTATTATATATATAATAATAATAAATAATAAAAACAATAATAAATATAATAATAAAAAATAATAAACATAATAATAAATAATAATAATAAAAATAACCTCTTCAGCAGCTGCCGCACGCCTCGTCACATGTGCGCCCTCTTTCATATTCAAAATATCTTTTTGCATTGTCTGAAATTATCATCATTATTATTATCAAAATATAACATCATTATTAAGTGACCTGAAATTAAAAATTCAAAAAAATGGCCTGAAATCAAACACCCAAAATATGACCTAAAATCAAAAACTCAAAAAATGACCTGAAATCAAAACCCAAAATCCCAAAAATGACCTGAAATCAAAAAAATCAACAACCAAACGCACCCTCAACGCATTCAACGAGTCATCAGCCATCTCCTTCGCATAATTATTCACGTCATGTCCCGTACTATTAAACATCACCGCATTCGCAAACATCAACAACAACCTCCTCTTAAAATCCAGCATATCCGCTATTCTGCCCGAATCCACCTGCTTCTTCAACGTTTGCAGATCCATTCGACTGAAATTTCCGTGATCTAAAGTTCACTTTAGATGACCTGTTATTAATTTCAGGTCCATTTTCGGATGACCTGCTATTAATTTCAGGTTTAGGCAGACTCGAAAAAATAGCTCACTTCTTCACCACCTTCGAATACCCTCTCGCAATACTATCCGATACGGGCTGAGCGAATATGGCTGCGTGTCGGTGACTCGATACCATTCTCCAAACCGACGTCATAAAGGCCTTTTGCTCGATCGTCGTCTCATCCAGTTCATCCTCAAATAATATATAATAATAAATAATATGTAATAATAAATAATATATAATAATAAATAATATATAATAATAAACAATAATAAATATTAAAAAACAACAACAATAAATAATAATACTGACGTACCCTCCTCGACCTACGTCTCGATGATCCCATCGGATGTCTTGAACTCTCCGACCTCGTGCTTCTTGGAGTCGTGACCGCATCCACTCCAGAAGATGGTACCTCGCGTCTAGGTCGACCTGAAATTAATTTTAGGATACCATTATTATTCTCAAAAAATATTAAATAATAAATAACAATAAATAATAAAAAATCCGCACCTCTCTGCTTCTCTAACCCGCTCGCTGCTCTCCTCTTCGACTGTCTTGTCCCGGCACCGCCGCTCTCGCTGTCTGCCTTTGTCTCGCTGTCTTGTCTGCTCGCACTGTCGTGTCTGCTACCCTCATNGCGCTGTCTCTTTTTTGGCCGCAATTATGTCACTTCGGATGTCACCCAGCGGTTTATTCTCCTCTTCGTCCTCGTTCTCCTCCTCGTCCGACTCCAATATGGCCGATGCTGACGCGCGCGGGTGCGCTGACGGTGGCATTCCATCGGACGCCTGACAATAATAGATGACATTAATGACAATAATAAATGACAATAGTGACAATATTAAATGACAATATTGAGTAATAACAATAATAAATAATAAAATAATACCAATATTAAATAACATAATAACTCACCCTCGTCCTCACCATACCCCCCGCGTTCCCCCTCTCCTCCCTCCTCGAATCCACCTCCTTAACTCCACCGGCACTTCGCAACGAACCTCGTCTACCCACCGTCTGCTGCGCTGGTTTCTCTGCTACCTCCTCGGTTCGCTTAATATATCATCAATTACATTAATTAATTATAACAATAATAATAAACAATAACAACACTAAATAATAATATATAACAATAATAATACACCACAATAATAAATAAAAACAATAAATAAGTCCAAATAAACGCACCCTTTTGGACCCCTTCACACTCTAATAATATTTCATCAATAATAACAATAATAAATAACAATAATAAATAATAATAAATAACAATAACAATAAATAACAATAATAAATAATAAACCCACCCCCT